AAAAAGAGGCGAGACCCAATACGTGGATCATAAGCAGAACACCACGGCTAAGAGACAATGGTTAAAGGATATTTTGATAAGTAACAAATGGCGAAAGAGTGTCATTACAATGACAGCGAAATTCTGAGTGGATAAAGGAATCGGGTGTGTTTTGGCGACGGCTGTGTTATCTGGGATGCGTAAACAAACTACTGGCCAAAGAAAAATCCAAATGAAAATGTTATTTCGATAAGTGACGGAAAACAGGTGGACAAAAGAGCTTTGGATAGATTTGAAAAATTTGTGTCAAAAGCCGCACACGATGTGTCTACTGACCGATTTCTTTCGACGGAACATCTTTGGCCTGCGATAATAAAATTATGTTATCAGAAATATGTACCGAAAGGAAATGAATGGGAACTTAGAAATGTTCTTTTCGGGGCGACGTCTGGTCGTGTTAAAAGACCACCCATTCTGATAATTAGCGATAAGATGATTGACGAAGCCCAGGTGTAGAACAAGAGTTATGACCACCGTCGTTTGCGGCGAGAGAAAATGATAACTGCGATTAAGAGGAAGAAAAGCAAGTTTAGTTAAGCAAGATATTTTTTTTCCTGAAACAAAGCCGCGGATTCGTCCACGCCCGACTAAGACACCATTGGTCGAGTGGTGATCACGTGACGCACGAAGGAGGCTGTCGCCGCCCATCCAGAGGATAGGTATGAGAATCTGCTACGAAGAAGTGGGGAGGGCAGCTCACGCCCTTCTGAAGTATGGTGAGAAGGTGGGAGTAAGAAAAGGCTCCCAAAAATGGAAAAGAGTGGAAAATTCCCTAACCAGAAATAAAAAGAGGTGGATATGTATTTAGAATTATCGAGGAACCCCCGACGCCGACAAACCCACCCCGGTTTTGGTCGGCGTCCATATAAGCGAAGCCGCAGCAAGCAGAAATCAGTTCAGTTCCAGTTCAGCAGAGTGGAGTTGCAGCAGAGAGTTCGAAGCTCGCAGTGGAAGTTGGTTCCGCCTCGCAGATAGCTGACTTGAAAGATTCACGCACATTCCGGACTCCTCTTCAATCCAAGAACAATTATTTTGAAGAGCGACATTGATCCTGACCACCAAAATAATTTTTTTTTTCGACTTTCGTCCGAAGACACACCGAAAAACCAATTTCTTAAAGAGCAAACAACTTGAAGCGTTAAAACTCGCCTAACGGAAAACAACGTGTCACAATCCATAGAACGGGTCGGGAGATAGACTCGGTCCTATGTATCGAACAACTAGACATAAAGTTTGTTATCTTTTTCTTTGATACCTTGAACTTTCGAGTTTTCATTTTCTTTTCTTTTATGCATATTTGTGTGGTGTCACCCCCGTTGAACCCGATTTGCATTACGGCCCCAACTACTGATTGATCTCGTCTGCCTAAGATCAATTCACAACGTGGGTATGCAGACTGGAGATCAATGCAGTTACTTTGGTAACCAGGCGTTGGAAGCGAGTTGGGAACGACGTGGCTGATATCAAATCTAACCAGATTCCCACCCGAATCACCAAAAGGTTAGAACGTCACATTTGGGTGCCGCGACCGATACCAAGCCAGTTGGTCGTCACATGACGAGACAACACGACTGACGCGACAGGCGGACGTCACGTTTGGAGCGGCGACACCCGAACGGAGCAGCGAGGAGCGAACAGCTGGCGCCGCGGCGAGGACGTCACAGTTGGTGCCGTGGTAGACCAGGATAGGACGTCACAGTTGGCGCTGCGACCAGGGAACGACGTCACATAACTATCAGAGTTTCAATTCTCGGTAGTAAATGACACCCAAGTATTGGATGAAACGGCCGTCCAGTGCTTTCTGTTGAGGTTACTTTCAGACTCCATGAATTATATTAATATATATATATATATATATATATATATATATATATATATATACATGGTGCGATTGATGAATTGTCGTGTAAATTACGAAAAAATGAAAATAGCACTCACATCTCATTTTAACACATATATTTACCAAAATTACATAGAAATGTCTGGAAATACGAAAGAGTAGATTCATTCAATAAAATAGCCATTGGCGTCAACTACGGCCTCCAGACGACTTTTAAATCTCCTGCAACTCTTTTAGACGGTCTGCTTTTTTAAGTAGCTGAATGCTACCATATATCCTTGCCTTCAGTTCATCTTTGGTGTTACAAGGAGTTTTGCTGGTCACTCGTCCCGAACATAATCCAGGGAATTGTTGTCTGGGGAGTTAGGTGGTGTAAGGAGTGATGTGGTTGCAGAAATTGTCTGACATCCGTGACTGAGGTCTTCAGTTTTTGTGGCGGAATGCAGAGCCCTGTTGCCAAACATTAGTTCTTCCACCAGACAACTTCTTGACCCAGGGCAATACTACCTCTTCAAGGCACTTGATGTAGGCCTCCGTGTTGAGGCCTTCACCAGCAAATTCGGGAGTTCTTTTCTTATCAGAACGATCAGAGTGAGTTTTTCGAGCTGCCGTACCTCCGTAATCAACATTGGACTCATCCATCGCTTTTCTTATCCTGTAAAAGGATAAGAAAAGAGATGGATGAGCAGGAGCAAAAATATAATCTAAAAGTTACAGAGACTAATATTCTATGGTTCTAATTTATTACGTTGGAATCGTAATCACGATCCAATTCAATATATATGTTTTAGATTCCTAAAATATATATAGATGAAGGTGTATATATATATATATATATATATATATATATATATATATATATATATGAAGGTGTATATATATATGTATATAAACAGAGCATTTACTTAAATACTTGTATCTATAAAAAGAATGTTAAACATAAAATGTCTAATAAATTGTCGGACTTTGTCCAATTCTTAATGTATGACGTCATTTCTTTACATTTGATACGCCATGAGCAGTTATGAATGTTCGAGATTCATGGAAGATTGTAGTTTATAAGCAGTAAATTCGACCTTGCCTACTGAACGCTCATTTGTGGCCGAGTCGGTTAAGGCGCGTCAGTGTAAATGACGGTTCCGTATAGGATGCAGGTTCGAATCTTGTCAAAGGACGAATATTTTCTATGAAAATTTCTATTACATACAGGCCGGTAAATGTTATTTAATACTGTTTATTATAAACAGAGCATTTACTTAAATACTTGTATCTATAAAAAAATGTTAAACATAAAAATGTCTTTAATATATATATTAAATAAAGTAGGATTAAAAAATCTATTTGAAACTTATTATATTTATTTCAGTAAACATGTCTTATTAAAGAGTATAGACATTTTATGCTTATTGATCTTTTTTACAACGTATAAATTTTGTAAAATGTAGCTGTTTTTTATGCACGAAATAGCTCAAATCATACTGTGTCAGGGCTATGTAAAAAATAATTTTATCTCGTTACACGTTGCTGACACATGACTTACTGTTTATGAACTTGGGTTATTTTATGCATCAACAACAGATACGTTTGCGAGATGTTATTCTCATCCTAGAATAAAAGAAGATCAATAAATCTAATAGACATAAAGTGTCAATTCTTTTTAATAAGACATGTTTACAATGGCAACTTCTGGCCAAATACACTGATTTTGATTTGTGTGAATTTATGCTATATATATATGAGGATATTGATAGTTATGTAGGTTAGTGTTAAAAAGCATTTGCATAAGAAATATTGCTTACCTTGTCAATATGGGAGAGGGTGAGTGGGAAAAGTGAGAAAGAAAGAAAGAAAGAAAAAAGAAATAAAAATAGGAAAGAAAGAATAAAAAATAGAAAGAAAGAAAGAAAGAAAGAAAGAATGAAAGAAAGAAAGAAAGAAAAAGTGGTAAACTAGAAATAAAGAAAAATAGAAATAAAATAAAAGAAAAAGAAAAAATGAAAGAAAGAAAAATAGGGAAGAAAGAATAAAAAATAGGAAAGTTAGAAAGAAAGAAAGAAAGAAAGAAAGAAAGAAAAAAAGAAAAATAGGAAAGAAAGAAAGAAAGAGAGAAAAAAAAGAAAGAAAAATAGGAAAGAAAGAAAAAAGAGAAAAGCTAGAAAGAAAGAAAAAAAGAAAAATAGAATAAAAAATAGAAAAGAAAGAAAGAAAGAAAGAAAGAAAGAAAGAAAGAAAGAAAGAAAGAAAGCTAGAGAGAAAAGAAAAGAGAAAGAAAGGAAGAAAAAAGAAAGAAGTTTACAATGGCAACTTCTGGCCAAATATACTTTTTTTTTTAATGTTAAAAAAGCATTTTCACAAGAAATATTGCTTTCCTTGTCAATATGGTGTAAGGGTGAGTGGAGGCATAAAAGAAAGAAAGAACAAAAAATAGAAAAGAAAGAAACGGAGAAAGAATCGATAAATATGAAGAAAAGTGTTACGAACAAATAATAAAAGAAAGAGAGAAGAATGAATAAAAGAAAGGAAAAAGAAGAAAGGTAGGAAGGAAAGAAGGAGATGAAAATATCAGTAACAATGAAGAAATTATGAAATAAAAAGTTAATAAGAAAGAATGAAGAAGAGAATAAAGAAAAGAAAGAAACAAAGTAAGGAGAAAAAATGAAAAAGATAAAGGAAAAAAAGAAAGAAAGAAAGAAAGAAAGAAAGAAAGAAAGAAAAAAAGAAAGAAAGAAAGAAAGAAAGAAAGAAAGAAAGAAAAAAAAGAAAGAAAAAGAAAGAAAGAAAGAAAGAAAGAAAGAAAGAAAAGAAAGAAAGAAAGAAAGAAAGAAAGAAAGAAAGAAAGAAAGAAAGAAAGAAAGAAAGAAAATAGGAAAGAAAGAAAGAAAGAAAGAAAGAAAGAAAGAAAATGCTAGAAATAAATAAAGAAAGAAAGATGAGGCAGGCGAGAAAGAAAGAAAGAAAATGAAAGAAAGAAAGAAAGAAAAGAAAGAAAGAAAGAAAGAAAGAAAGAAAGAAAGAAAGAAAGAAAGAAAGAAAGAAAGAAAGAAAGAAAGAAAGAACAAAAAATAGGAAAGCGAGAAAAAAGAATGAAAGAAAGAGAGAAAGAAAAAGAAAAATACGAAAGTCAGAAAAAAAAGAAAGAAAGAAAGAAAGAAAGAAAGAAAGAAAGAAAGAAAGAAAGAAAGAAAGAAGAGGATTTAAAAATGAAAGAGAAAAATAAACAAGTGACTATAACGGAAGAGGAAATTAATAAAAGCGAAAAAGAATGGAATATAAAATAAAAATAAATTGACATGAAAATGAATTTTTTTTTTTTTTTTTGTTTAAATAAGTGCCCAGAATGGAAGCGATAAACATGATGATCTTTAAAGAGGTGACCGTAGCGCTGGACCAATCGACATACTAATGGAATTGTTTCACACTATTAAAACCAGTCACATAACAGCTAAAAACGTGAAATATTAAATCAAGTTAAACAGGCGGTGGAAAACGTGTAGAAGAGAAACAATTATGGAAAGCCAAATGAAGAAAGTCGAAGCGAGAGAGAAAATTGCGAGTTGATGGAAGAATATAAACAAACACATGGATGAATCGTGAAAAGAAATTCTAAATGAGGTGTTTTTGTAACCGGCAATTGACAATGTAAGGGCATCCATACATTGCACTGACAGTTCAAAGAAATATAAGGATACAAAGTAGGGAAAAACTATAACCAACTTGACGGTTACTGAAACACTTCGCGGTTTGCATAAGATTAAATGGCACTTGAAGCAAGCAAAAGAATATAGAAGATTTGTCTGAAGAGATAGATAGATAGATAGATAGATAGATAGATAGATAGACAGACGTAGATAGATAGATAGATAAAGTCAGACTTAGAGATAGATAGATAGATAGATAGATAAGGACAGACATATAGATAGACGTAGATAGATAGATAGATAGATAGATAGATAGATAAAGGCACTAGATAGATAGATAGATAGATAGATAGATAGATAGATGATAGACAGATATGTACAGATAGATAGATAGATAGATAGAATGAATAGATAGATAAAGAGAGACTTGGATATAAATAGAAGAATAGGCAGATAGAATAGCCTAGCCAGCTAGCTAGATAGATAGATAGATAAGGCAGATAGACATAGGATAGATAGGAGACAGATGGATAGATAGATAGATAGATAGATAGATAGATAGATAGATAGATATATAAGATAGATAGATAGATAAAGGGAGAACTTACCTGATATAGATAGATAGATAGATAGAGATAGATAGATAGATAGATAGATAGATATGGAATATGCTGTGATAGATAAATAAATAGATATTAATAGACTAGATAGATAAATGAAAGTTGAAAGAAAGAAAGAAAAGCAGTAAACATGGAAAATCCGCTGATGAGAACTTAAAAAATGAAAAAAAGAATCACAAAACAGTGAATGAGGAGAGATAAAAATGCAATCGACAGATTTCTTCAGAAAACCAATAAGCTCTGTGATAGAGCGAGAGAAACATAGCGGGGTAGACAGGGTGAATGGAAAAAAGAAACGGGGTGAGTGTGGGAGTAAACGTGGAAAAGAGAAGAATCAATCTAGGGAGAAAGAGGGAGGTAGATTGGTAAGAGGGGAAATGTAAGGAGAGCGAGTGAAAGGGAGAGAGTGTGAGCGTCGATCCGAGAATGAATCAGAGAGGAGACGAATTAAAAATAAAATGTTCGCCGAAGACTCAAAATGGCCGCCAGGCATATCGTTCGTTTCATTCCGTTTTTTTTTTTTTTTTTTTTTTTTTGAGGACTCCTTGCTATGAGGAGCCCAGAAATTATAATGGACGAATATTGATAGATTGAAATTGCCCTGTTATCGAAACAATGGCGAACCCGTATAGCGAGTTAAAAAAAAGGACAAAGGATAATAATAATAATAATAATAATAATAATAATAATAAAACAAGAAAGCTTCTTTCTAAAGATAAGATGCATCATCCAAAGGCTGATGTAAAATACCCCGTAAAGAAGGTGGGAAGAGGTCTTATTCAGCTAGAATTTCATACAAGACAACAACTATTGGCTTACTAACACATGGAAACAACAAATGACTGGATGATAAAATTAGTGAAACAACATGAAAACAGAAAGAAAAAAATATTCAATAATAAAGAAGGCAGTAAATACAAACAACATTTACATTTAGTAGATTCTGTAGTAAATCAAAACAGAAGCCAAGAACCAACTATTGCAGCAAAAGATATGAAAAGAAAGCCAAGGATAAAGCCCTTGAACAGATGAAACAACGCTGGCAAGACAAACCTCTGCATGGCCAATATCCAGAACGTGCAAATAAACCCAATGTTGATAAAGTTAATACTCATCGATGGTTACGAGCATCTGGATTAAAGTCTGAAACTGAAGGCTTTATTTTTGCAGCGCAAGACCAGGGTCTTTTTCACTAGGAATTTTCAGGCAAATATCATACATAATAATGGATCCAAAATGCAGGTTCTGGACAAATACCAAGAAACAATAGACCATCTAATCTCAGGATGTGAATACTTGCCCCAAATGAATATAAAAATCGTCACGATAGAGTGGGGCAATCTGGACAATGAAAAACACTTTGGAAAATGTAAGCAAACACTGAAATATGAACATCGGCCAGCGCCGGTTACAGAAATAGAAGATGTCACCATTCTATGGGGATTATACCATCACACAGACAGAAAATTGGCAAATAGGCCGGACATTATTGTCAAAAACCAGAAAGAAAAACTTGCCTACTAATTGATATGAATGGCTTGTCCATGGATTGTAATTTTTTTTTTTTTTTTTGAAAACTATCAAACACAAAGACCTGGAAATTAAATAAAAAATGTGAAATTGAAAACAAGAATAATTAGTGGTGGTAATAGGACTTGGAATTATGGAACAAAACAACACATTGAAATGAATTAGCTTAAGAGAATGAAAATTGTCTTATACGAAACACATGGAGAACCTATGTAACGTATCGGCGAGTTAAAAAAAAAAAAAAAAAAATTAACATGAAATGTATTATAATAACACACCAACCTGCCTTAGGTTAATAAGACTTGGTAATCCATAGAAATAATAATAATAATAATAATAATAATAATATTAAACGCCGATAGTCCAACATAGCAAAAAACAGTTTCTTTTTTCACGTATCAAGTATCAGTTGCGAGAAAGTTTTCAACATAAGACGACTACAAATATATTTTCCACACACTGCTTTCTTTCTACCATCTTGTTGCTATCCCACATCTATCTATCTATCTATCTATCTATCTATCTATCTATCTATCTATCTATCTATCTATCTATCTATCTATCTATCTATCCACTAGAGTCAATATCTACTTTTCACGTTATATACATATCTATCTATCTCAGTCTTTTTTATCTATCAATGCATATTCATATCTATCTATCTATCTATCTACCTATCTATAGATAATCGTCTATTTCTATGTATTCATGTATAAGTCTATCCATATCTATCTATCTATCTATCTATCTATCTATCTATCTATCTATCTACCAGAGTCTATTAATATCTATTTATCACAGTATATTCATTATCTATCTATCATCTATCTATCTATCTATCTATCTATCTATCTATCTATCTATCTATCTATCTATCTATCTATCTAATTCTCTCTGTTCATATCTTTCTATCTACTAGAGTCAATATCTACATTTCTCAGTATATACATATCTATCTCAGTCTTTTTTATCTATCAATGTATATTCATACATATCTATCTATCTATAGATAATCGTCTCTTTCAATGTATTCATGTATAAGTCTATCCATATCTATCTATCTATCTATCTGTCTACCAGAGTCTATTAATATCTATTTATCACAGTATATTCGTTATCTATCTATCTGTCTATCTATCTATCTATCTATCTATCTATCTATCTATCTAATTCTCTCCGTTCATATCTATCTATCTACTAGAGTCAATATCTACATTTCACAGTATATACATATCTATCTATCTCAGTCTTTTTTATCTATCAATGTATATTCATACATATCTATCTATCTACCTATCTATAGATAATCGTCTCTTTCAATGTATTCATGTATAAGTCTATCCATATATCTATCTATCTATCTATCTATCTATCTATCTATCTATCACATTCTATTGATATCTATCTCAGTCTATTCATATCTATCACAGCCTATTGCTATCTGTCTATCTATTCATATAAGTCTGTCCATATCTGTCACAGAATATACAAATCTATCTATCTATCTATCTATCTATCTATCTATCTATCTATCTATCTATCTCTCTCTCTCTCTCTCTATATATATATATATATATATATATATATATATATATATATACATATTATGAAATGTATTAATTCCGCCAATTATTTAATATATTTTCTGTTTATACGTTATTTTAATAGATTCATTTCTTTTAAGTAATTTGCTATGTTTTTAATTAAACAGTCTTAATTACATTTACCTGCTTGAATGTTCGAGAAATTTCGTAGAAAATATGTATTCTTCAACAGGAATCGAACCTTTGTACTATACAGAGCCGTAATTTGATCTGACGTGCAATACCACTCAGCTATAGAGAAGCGTCTGGTTAGCAAAGTTCAAATTAATGTTTTTAAATGAACTGTATCTATAAAAATAACGTCTAAACAGAAGATATATTAATTATTTGTCAGACCTAATCTATTTGATAATATGTTGTCAATGTTTATGTTAATGTACGTTCCATGAGCAGATATGATAATTCGGGTTAGATCGTCAAAGGTTTATTGTTTAGAAACATTAACACTCAACTATATATAGTTAGGTATTTAAAAGAATAGGAGGTATAAAAGGAAATGAAATTGAAATGAAACAGGAAAGAAATTTAAGAAAATCAAGAAAACAAAAATGGAGGAAATTAATGAAAAGAATGGAAAGAAAAAAAAAGATAAATAGTAGCAGAAATAGAAAAGAAAGAAAGAATAAAGAAAGAAAGAAAGAAAGAAAGAAAGAAAGAAAGAAAGAAAGATAGAAAAAGGAACAAAAGAAAGAAACGAAAAGAAAAAAGAAAAGAAAAGAACAAACTAAAAAGTTAAATGAGAAACCAATGTTGATGGAAACTAACCAATGAAAAATTTAAAGAAAGTTGCAGTAAGAGTAGCATAAAAGAAAGAAAGAAAGAGAGAAAGAAAGAAAGACATAAAGAAAGAAAGAAAAAACAAACAAACAAACAAACAAACAAACTAAATAAAGAAAGCGTTCCGATTACGCATTGATGCGTAGAAAAGAAAGAAAGAAAGAAAGAAAGAAAGAAAGAAGATATAACAGAAAAAAGAATGAAATAAATAAATAGAATCAATAATTAAAGAATATAACATAGAAAGAAAGAACGAAGCGGTCACGCAAAAGAGAACGAAAGAGAACAGAAAAAGAAAGAAAGAAAAATGATTGAATGAAATAAATAAATACAGAATGTATATAGAAAGAATATAACAAAAAAAAAAAGAAGAAAAGAAAGAACGATCACGGAAAGAGAAAGAATTAAGGAAAGAGATAAAACAATTAATAATGAAAGAATATAACAAAGAAAAAAGCTTTTGAAGTAAAAAAAATGAAGTAAAGAAAGAAAAAACAAAGGGAAAAAAAGAAAGAAAGGAAGGAAGAAAGAATCACAGAAAAAGAAAGAAAGAAAGAAGAAGGAAGTAAACAAAAGAAAAAAGAAAGAAACACGGAAAAAGAAAGAATTAAAAAAAGAGATAAAACAATAGATAATGAAAGAATAAAGGAAAGAAAAAAAGAAAGCAGCTTTTAAAGAAAGAAAAGAAGTAAAGACAGAAAGAATGTAACAGCTCGGGTAACAGATTCATGCACATCTATCTATCTATCTATCTATCTATCTATCTATCTATCATCTCATTCATATCTATCTATCTATCTATCTATCTATCTATCTATCTGTCTATCTATCTATATCATTCCATTCCTATCTATCTATCTCTGTCCCAATTTTGTTCATATCTATCTATCTATCTATCTATCTATCTATCTATCTATCTATCTCTTCGTAACTATCTGATTTCTATCCGTATCTATCTGTCTATCTCAGTCTGTTCATATCTATGTATCTATCTATCTATTTCAGTTTTTTCATTATCTATCTATCTATCTATGTTCCAATTTTTTTCATATCTATCTATCTATCTATCTATCTAATATCTGTTCGTAACTATCTGATTTCTATTCGTATCTATCAATCTCAGTCTGTTCATATCTATCTATCTATCTATCTATCTATCTATCTATCTATCTATCTCTGTTCCAATTGTTTTCATATCTATCTATCTATCTATCTATCTAT